GTTCCGGGCACATCCAACTGGGAGAAGGCCCAGAGGAAGACCCAGGACAAGCTGGAGGGACTATGTTTCTCAGCTGGCCTGGGAACACCTTTCCTCCAAAGGAGCTGGCCCAAGAGGCTGGAGAGAGGGAAGTCTGGGTCTCTCTGCTTAGGCTGCTGCCCCCACGACCCGACCCCGGATAAGAAGATGGATGGATGGATGGATGGATGGATGGATGAATCTCATGTTAGCTTTGGTCAAAACATCAAAGAGCTGCCGTTTAAAGACCAAAGAACCACATGTYGCCCTAGAGCCACAGGTTGCAGACCCCTGCATTAGGAGACCACTACTAGTAGACCTAATTTATGTTGACTGGTTAACATGTAGGTGTTTGTTCAGCTMACTGGGTAACTTGTACCATACAGTTGTCAACTAGTTTGGTCCAMTGGTCCACTAGTGCAATAAAAGGCCAAGTTGGGACTTTTGGACTCCTAATGCAGCAAATTGTTSACAAGTATGACTTCTCCTCCAACAAGTTGGCAAAAAAKGTGTTACTAACTAAACGTGCAACAWGTACAATGTAGTCACTAGRGGGCAGAAATGACAACATCGGAGATATCAGATAAATACAATAAAGGCTRGCCATATTCTTTGACACTTTGATGGGATCATGGCTCAAGTCCAGACTTGTATCCTGCCTTCGGGTCAGTACTATCAGTTCTAACGAGCACAACTAATTTTACGTTCTAGGAAAGCGGAGCAAGTAGCTGTTAGAAAAAGCTCTGGTTTTCCTTGTTCGACAGGTTTCTTTCCCATGCTGAATGTCAACCACATAACAACACATCTTGTTCAGAAGAAATCATTGCTCAAGATTCACGACATGATTGATGACTCAGTTCTGTTTACAGATGCGACCAGCAGTAACGGACCCCGCTGCTCTGCAAGTCCCTGCAGCTCTTGTTTTTGTGTTTTTTTTTTCTCTCTCTGTCAGTAAGGTTCAGGTGTATTCGCTTTGAACTTTTCCAGCTGAGATCAGGGCTTCTTGTCAAGTTTGAGCTCACCTGTCAAAATAAAGCGGTGATGATTCAGTGATTTGAACAGAATAGTCTGACAMTAGTGTTTGACCAGAGAGCTGTCAGGGAGTTTCGGGCTTGTGGTTTGCAGAATCCCACTCAACTGTTTAGCAAACCGCTGCAGACTGAATTTAAGTCAGAACATCTCGAGACATTATTCATTAATGTTAAACAAATGTCTATTTGTGTTTACTTAACCAAAGCTCCTCATTCTGATTAATTTAATTCTTCTTGTTGGGTTTGCAGATTTATGCAGCGTCGTGGTRACATGAGGAACAAAGCAGCACTTAGACCTTTTTAGTCCTCAGATCTTAACACTGAACAATTAATAAACTATTACTAGCCTAACAATTAACTTTAACAATTCAACTTGACATGCTTTATCATGCATTTTTCATTAGAGAGATTATCTGAGTTGTTTTTCTTAAGCCTAACTGTTGTGAACCTTTGCAKAGACATAACAAAGGTTTTTAGAGGCTCCACAAAATAATCTACATTCCTGACTTTGGAGAGGAAAAAGTTATATAATCACATGTGGTCAATAATAATGATAGTGTTATAGCTACAATCATAGGTTTCCCTTGAAATATAAACAAGGGATTGTGCAGGAAAAAAAGTCTTATTGTAAAGAACTGCAGTGCTGCATTCAAGTACTATCGGAATTTTCGAACATTMTTCATTCATTTTAAAATCATCTAAAAGGGACTGTACTTAGACCTATATCTTTCTATCCAACCAAAAGCACTTTACAGTATTTACTCACATTCACAGAACTCTACAACATCTCTATAAACCTAATCTTCATAAATCATTTTATGAAGACTAGTCTTCAGATTCATGCTCTGATGGGACACACTTCAGAGGCAGTGGGGGTTCAGTGTCTTGCCCATGGATATTTTGACATATGCCTAAATAGCGGTGGAATCAAACTGCCAACTCTCATATTGGAAGACGACTCCCCAACCAAGTCAAACACAGCCGCCCCAACCATCAGACATCAGTTCCTTAATGAAAACATCCATTAGGCTGATAATACCTGGACCTATTCAAGTAATGTTTGGTTTGCTCATCATTGAACGTATCAGTGAACTTGGAGAAACTACATTTAATTTTATTTTATGCACATTTAGAACACCTTGCAAACCACATTTCAGTTTACACTGTTTAAAACACTGTTAGTTTCTCAACACAGTTTTTAAAATGAAAGCAATTTTCTCAAACATAAATATTAAGACATGTTAATTATGTGTTTTTCTAAAGCAACACTTTTTACTTAGATTTTGTTTATAAGAAAACAATGTTTTGAGCTGCCATAAAGGAGAAAAAACGTTTATAATGTTAAAATAGATAAATTAAACATGTATGCAAAACAAAATAATTTTTATGTATCCCATGTCTAAGCATATACCAAGTGTAATAACGTTCAAATAAAATAAAAGAGTAATATCAGAATCAGTTTTATTGCCATTGTCAATGAACAGGATTCACAGACTAGGAATTTGCTTTAGTGTAAAGGTGCAACACGTACCAAATATAACAAAGGATAAAGGAAAAAATAATTAAATAATAAAATATATAGGTATTAAAATAAGCAGCAGTAGTTGCAATGTAATTATGTTTTTAGACATTTTAAAACATCATTTCATTCCAGAATGTGTAAGTAATTGATGTGCTTTTTTTGCTTGTATTTGTTTGGATGTGTGAAGCTATCGTATCCGGGGCTGAGCTGAGCACGTGAACGCATCAGCAGTCCTTGAACGGGGTGGTGTGTGACGTCACATGTGACCCAATCAGAGCTGCTGGAGCGGAGAGAGTATCGGTCCAGTTTCTGCGGAGAGTTCCGAGTTGTCCGGCGGAGTTTGAAAGACGACAACAAAAAACAGTTTAATTGTCGCTCTCCGATGAATAATTTCTGAGAAGCAAGAAGGAGAGAGCGGTGCGGACCGGACCGGACCGGACCCGGGGGCACATGGAAACACGATGCGGCCGGAAAGACGGCGGTGGATTTTCGTGTAGTTTCTGCGGAGAGAGGAGGCGAAGCGAGGCGAGATAAACATGCTCAGCCTGCTGGCCTCGTTTCTGCTCGCTGTGTTTCTGCTGTGCCGGACTTCTTTCTGCCAATACTCGAGCGACCAGTGCAGCTGGAAGGGAAGGTGAGCTTCAGTTTTCTTTTAAAGAAACTCTACCTTTAAAAAACAAAAAAAAAAGTGGAATAAAGCGGATGTATTTACAAGAAGTCAGCCGCTGGCTGCAAACCTGAGATGACCGAAACTCGGGACACCGCAGTGATGAGGCGCTGAAGATAAACACAAAATGTTGTTTTTCATCTCGAATAAGGAAATAAATATGTTGTTTATGTCCAGAAGCTCGACTGGTAATGTTTAAAAGAGCAGTTGTTTGTTTCAAGTTTCTAGTATTTATGAAATCTTCAGCTTAGAGTTAATTTCAGTTTCAGGAAACATTAAATCATATTTCATACATCATAGTTAGTGTGACAATCAGTCATACTTGTTTATTTATATAATTCACAACATTAAAACATTAGTATAAGTTGTCCCTATATAAAATATTTTTTCATATTCAAGCTTTTAATTTATAATATTTAAACAAATTCCTAAACTAAACCCAGTTTTTTGAAAGTTGCTCACCAAACATTAATTTAAAGCTGTGCCTTCAAATAGTGTTTTTTTTCTTCCACCAGCCAGTAGGGGTAGGTCACAGCTACTTTGAGTTTTCAACCAATAGTCTGTTCTTCATTAGTGACTTGCTTTAGACTAAAATCCTTTAATTGCATGCAGAAGTGATGAAGTTAGATTAGACTTAATTAAAGGCGTGCTGAGGTGAGGCTGGTCATGGGGCTTTCAGCAGCATCTGCTCAGCATGTGCCACCATGACTCCATTTTTTTTAAAACATCTACTGTGAATTAAAAATTTTAGCATCTCGTTCTAAGCTGGGCGTTTCTCCTCCAGAGTCAAACCACGAGCTTGGCATGCACTTCCCTCCATCATGGCTTCCTGCCTCTGGCTCTGCCACAGGATGACTGACACAGTGGAGCTTTTTTTTCTTCTTTTCTTTCTTTCAAACTCTGACCAGGCATTAAGTTGTGGAGGGAGTCGTTCGGTCATGCTGGCGCCAGAGTCCGAAGTGCTGCCTGGACAAGTCTCTTCCACTCTCTGTGGTGGCTTGAAAGCCGGGGGAGGTTCAGTGCGTGACCGGCATTTGCACTTGCATGCAGCAGGCCCAGCTACTGTTGCTGCTGCTGTGTGCCCAGAAGCCCCTCTGTCCCCTCCATTCATTCATTTTTCTGCCTCCTAACTCTTCCCAGAGGCAGGCTGCCAGGCGGCGCGTTTTGCCAAAGCTCGAGGCGGAACAGTGGGAGATGTGGAGTGTGCTTGGAGCCGGGGTCACTCGGGCTGCTCCGGCTCGTGACTGGTCATGCAGCCAGTCTTGCGCTGGGCCTAGTCTGCCCGAGGTCCTCTCCTTGGTTTGTTAAAGCGATCCACGATTAGTTGTAGCATTAAACTTTATTTGATAAACATTCATTTTAACTGTAAAATAAAGACTGTAAAAATACTGTAGGCTGTTTAGTTTTGTAAATTTTTTTAAATATATTTTAACATGGACGGAGCCATTTTATTTACACACAAAGCATTCTGGGTAAATGATGACATCAACTAGGTCCTCGGTGCGAGGCTGCTAGCGAGCTATTATCCACCCTGAAGGTTAATCTTGGACAATATCTGATGATCGACTDTTTTAAATGAAACCAGAGAGCGTTGACAGAGAGGAGAAGGTAGAAATGACTCAGTCTGTAACTGAAAATATGGATGGAGGACAACAGAGCTGCTTCATGGAAGAAGAACCTCAGCTTAACCTGTTAGCCTTTGCGCTAGCCTTATATGTATTAGCTCGGCGCTAGCTCGACAAACAAGCTAAACTGAGGTCCTCCATCCATATTTTCAGTTGCAGCTGAGTCATTTTTGCGTTCCCCTCTCTGTCATGTGGATGGAGGACCTCAGTGATGAGAGGAGAATGTGTAGCGCTGAGCTAATACATATATATGGTGATAGCATTGGGGCTAACGCTAAAGCTAACAGGCTAAGCTGAGGTTCTTCTTCCATGAAGCAGCTCTGTTGTCCTCCATCCATATTTTCAGTTCCAGGCTGAGTCATTTCTACCTTCTCCTCTCTGTCAACGCTCTCTGGTTTCATTTAAAAGAGTCGATCGTCAGATATTGTCCAAGATTAACCTTCAGGGTGGATATAGCTCACTAGCAGCCTCGCACCGATGACCTAGTTGATGTCATCATTTACCCAGAATTAGAGCTGCCACAAATGATTATTTTAATAATCGATTAATCACCGATTATTTACTCGATTAGTTAACTAATCGGATCATACATTAATTGAATATAAAACATACAGCTTATCACGTCAGAATGCAGCTGCTATTGTATAACCATCGTTAGATTTTAACTATATGCTAACTAAAAATAACTGCAGTGGAAGGCAAGTTCTGCTCTGCAGATATTGCACAGGTTTCTCTTTCATTTTCTTAAAATGATCCCACACTTTGAGCTCCGTTGTCAGGTAGCCATGATACCAGAGCCTGTCTGTATAATGTCTTGTAACGTCCACGGCCTACCCCAGTTACCACTACTGTGCATGTGTGTCAAGGACAGAAAGGCAGATGTGGCAGTGGAAGGTGTCAAAGCAGTTTGGAGAGAAAAACAAACAACAACAACAAAAAAAGAAAACGATTAATCGATTATTAAATTAGTCAACGATTATTTTAATAATCGTTTAGTCGTCGATTAATTGATTAATCGTGGCAGCCCTACCCAGAATGGTTTGCGTGTAAATTAAGTGGCCCCGTCCGTGTAATATATTTTTAAACATTTACTTTAAAAATGATAAAAACTGAACATCCTACAGTATTTTTACAGTCTTTATGTTACAGTTAAAGTATAAGTTTATCATATAAAGTCTAATGTTACAACTAATCATGGATCCCTTTAACAACGGAATGAGCAGAGCACAGAAAAAAATGTATCTTTTGCAACACACGTTAAAAGTTTCAAGTGATTTTTGTAATAAACGTGAATGTGTTTTTGGAAAGAAAACATTGATAACATTGCGAGACAAATTTCACGTCGTTGAGATGAACAGTTGTTGAGATGTTTGCGTGTGAAGAAACAGGAAGTGATGTCAAAGGGGAATGTCTGCGTGAAAACAGAGCGATGCTGCAATAATTAGAGAAGAATCTGATGTTTCTTTAGATTATTTTGAGTCACTATCAGAGTTGAATAAAAGTTTAAATAAGATTGTTTCAATAAACAAAGACTAGAGAGTTTCTTTTCTTAAAGAGTTCCCCTTTGATGTCACTTCCTGTTTCACTTTTCTGAGCCAAATTCAAGAAAAAATATGCCAGTTGTGAGACAAAATGGGTAAAATCATGTGTATTATGCTAATTTTCTTAAACATAAATATGTTTTCTTTGACTTTTTGTATTTGAAGGATAAACATGTCACAGGAACTTTAAGTTTGTGTCGTCTCTCGCTAACCTGCTGACTTCTTTTGTCCCTCAGTGGTCTGACCCATGAGGGCCACACCAGGGACGTGGAACAGGTGTACCTACGCTGCTCGCAGGGCTCCTTGGAATGGCTCTATCCCACCGGCGCCATCATCGTCAACCTCCGACCCAACACGGCGTCGCCCGCCGCCGCCCGCCTCTCGGTCTGCATCAAACCCTCCAGGGACTCCACGGGCACCAACGTCTACCTGGACCGCAACGGCCGGCTGCGGCTGCTGCTGCGCGAGCAGGACCAGGGCCGGGGGAAGGTGCACTGCTTCGGCATCCAGGAGGGGGCGCTCTTCATCGAGGCCGTCCCGCACATGGACATCAGCCGGCGGATCACGGCGTTCCAGTACGAGRTGGTCAGCGACAGACTGAGAGCCGAGGCGCTCTCGCCGTCGGGTAAGATTTCTCCGGTGCTAAAATCACAGCGAGCATGTGGGAAATTTGTTTCTGTTTCATCTAATGAGCCTGACTGACACTAAATACAGCCGTCTGACAGAAACCTTAATCAAGTTAGACTCAAGTAGTTGGAAACGCAGCGTTCTCTTCAACAGTCTTCTAAAGCCAAAGTCAGTTTGGTTTTATTAGAGTAGAAAAATGTAACGGCAGAAAGCCTTTCTGAAACAACCTTACTTGGAATAAAGGGTCAGTACGAGCTGTCAGCCCATTTCACAACATCACAGCTCTGCTGCAGGCCTTGATTGTTTTTCTTTGGCCTGGTTTGTGTGTGAAGGGTGAGAAGCCAAACACGAGGCTTCCAGTGAAAAAACAGCCATCTATTTTCCCGCTGCGTACCTGCCAGACCTGCGCAGATTCAAGCTGGGCAGCCGTGCGAGCGGCAGTGTTGTTTTTTCCAACTGGAGCGAGAATACGAGCAGCGCCGGGGCCCACATGTGTTTTTTTACGGCTCTCGGGCTTCACATATCCACGTCCTGCGTCAAAATCTGGCACGGGGAGAGGGTTCCAAAGCAGATGAGAGACTCTGCAGTTTGTTTGCCACCACATGAGTGCACTGGGCTCGGCTCTGTAGGCTGATCCGGTTCTGTAATGTGGCATGAGATAGCTCCGGGATGATTCACAAAGACATTGGTCTCGTGTCATGTGAGGCCTGGACGGGTTGTTTGATGGCTCCTTTGCTCCTTCTCGTTCTCTCTGGTCTGTTTCTCCTCTCCTCCTCTCCTCTTCTCCTCTCCTCTCCTCTCTGACCCGCTGTGCTGGGATCGAGTTGCTCACCATCACGTTGGAATGAGTCTCCAACCAGATGTTGGGAGGAACTTTTAGAAGCATATAGGCTGTTTTTCACTCCCCCAGCCTCCATTTCAGCTCACTTAAATTACCCCACCCCCCTCCTCGACCCTCATTTCCTACCACTTGATTTCTTTCACGTCTATTTATCATTTTGCTATTTTTCTTTTCATTCCCCTCCCCTTCATATAATTTCCTTCTCTCCTGGATGTTTGAAGTGGTTTTTGTCCCTGCTGAATAAGATCAGCGAGTTTTGCTCCATTCCAGTGGAATGCATCTGGGCCCAGATGTTGCAGTGACACTGTACCCCTCCTCTTTTTTATTTTTATTTTTTCACCGCCCCTCCCGTCCCCCTCCTCTCTGTTCCTGTGAAGTGGTTCTGATCCGAGCGGTGCTGCGTGTGCACGAGACCAGAACAAGATGCTGACTCGGCTCCCGGCCCATTCCTGTGGTTCCGTTTCACATGTGAGCCTCGCTTCAGGCTCCACGGATCCGGCGTGGACTGTCAGCTCCGCCTGATGCCGCGACCGAACACAGACTCACTTCAAAGTGAGCGTACTCTCAGCTCCGGGCTGAGGGCTGAGGGCGAGGCTCTCTCAAGTCCTCCTCCGGTCCAGCTGTTCCTGAGCCATCCAGGCTTGTGGCAGTTTGACCTCCTGAACTCTCTGGTGACGTAGCGGCGCCTTGTGTTTCTTCTCCGGCTGACCTCAAACACTCTCACCTTTCACCTCGCCAACTGTAAAAAAAAAAAAAAAGTTGAGCTCTGCTGATTAAGAAGATTTGATCTCACTCATTTGAACAGCCAAGAATGCACCATTTTTTAAACTCAATGTTCAGTAAGCAGCAAGTTTTATGGTTTTCAGTTCACATGGTGCCCCTTAAAGGTACTTAGTGCAAACTTTGCAATCAAACGTAACTAATAATATGTTTTTAGTTTTTACAGTTTAATGCTTGATAAGTGTTCACAAGTTTTTTTGGGCAGTTCTTGTTCTATTTCAATAATTTGAATATCAGAATGTTCAGCTCCTTCAGTGCATTCTGGCTGTTGTTTGGTACTTCAGACATTTATACTTTTGGAGGTATTTAGCTATTCCAGCCAATTATTTTTCCTCAAAAACGAGTGGAGCTGTCTTCAACCTTCTTAACCCCCTCAAGATGTTCGTAAATCTTTCCTGTTTTTTACTTTTTGTTCTGGCCCTGCTTTTTTAACTTATCATTAGGGTTGTAAGAAAATATCAATACACTGAAATATCG